TGTATGTCTGTGTCTGTCTGTATGTCTGTCTGTCTGTTTATCTGTATGCCTGCCTGTCTGTCTGCCTGTCTGTCTGTCTGTCTGTCTGTATGCAGGTACCTGTGCGGGTTCGTGTTTCTGTTAAACTCTGCAGCGTTGAGTCTAAACTGGAAGCTGAAAGTCAGACTTTAAAGTGGTCTGATAAAGCTGCTGCTATGGAATTCAAGATGGCTGCCAAGGTGTTGTTAGGCCTTCGCTATGGAATCCCAGGTGGTTACTAAGGTGTTGCTAGGCCGTCGCTATGTTATCCAATGTGATTGCTAAGGTGTTGGTAGGCTATTGCTATGGTGTTGCTGGGCCGTTGCTATGGTATTATAGGTGGTTGCTAGGCAGTTGCTATTGCTTGTTTCTTTTCTTGCTCTGTTGTTTTTTGTTCACACTGTAAAGCACTTTGAGCTGCATTTTAAGTGTATGGCAAATATGGTTTACTATCATTATTATTATTGTTATTGTTATTATTATTATTATTATTATTGTCAAATGAGCTGTAGTTCCTCATGAACACGTGGTGCGCAGACATACAACAGCTTCTTTTCCATCACAGCCTCTTATAGAGGTAACAGTAAACAAAGAGCTCTGATGACTGATCACTCGCTCTCACTGTGCTGGATGTTTTATCACACTGTATCCATTTCACTCGCAACGGCACATCAAAGTACATTTTTAAATATTGATATATTTATCCACAATATATTGCCGCATCAATACCCCGAACACGGACCTGTCCGTGTCCAGAGTGGTCTTAAAGGAGGGGGGGCGAGGGGACTCAGTTGGCGAGGGGACTCAGTTGGCGGGGGGGGGCCGGGGGGGGGGTTCCTCTAGGAATAATACTGTTTGTGTGTAAAACATTCAGCGTTATTAACTGTGATTTCTCTTCACTGTAGTTATTCTTTAGCGCTGGTTTAACCCACTGGCCACTGACTCCGGTCTGTAGTGTCCAGTCTCTGTTTTAGACTGTATATTAGAACCATTACCTGTTAAAGTCATCTCAAACACACCCCCCCCCCATCCCGCAGAGAGATCAGTCTCAGGAGGTTGATGCCATCTCAGCATGGCATGGAGCCGCTCGCTGGAACCGGTGAATTATTAAAGACGGACGACGATGCGGCCATTTCTCCTCAGTGAAGCTGTTTCAGAAAATATCCTGCAGCAGAAAAGCAGAGCAGCTCCGCTCATACAGGGGGCGGCTAAGCTAACACGGCTAATCTGGACAGAGGTTAGCAGAAAACTGCACTCTGGGTTCTGGGCTTTGAGGAAACATCTCCTGAGGAACGTTGAGCTCTGAGGTCCTGCAGGGTTTGTGGTGTGAAAACAGAAGGAGATTTAACTGATTTAATCTTAATCCGCCAACCAAACTCCTCCAGTCAGGTCCGCACAGCGTGAGGTAGAAGATTCTGCTGAAAAAAGCAAACAGACCGACAGAGAGACGTCCTCTGTAGTCCTGACCTGAAGAACATGGTAGAATGCGTCTGGTCTGACGGCTCAGAGGGATTTAGATTAATCTAAGCAGGTTAAGAGTAACGATATACAGATAATCCACCATCTCCAGCACCCACACAGGTAGGCTAATGGCTAACTCCATTAGCGCTGAGGATCACATTTCACTTTCCCGCAGGAAGTACACAGGCGTGACCGAACCTGCGTCCAGTCCGAGAACACAGGCTCCAACACAGGCTCCTTAAACCCCACCCTGCCTGGAGGTCAGCTGAGCTGGACACCTGCTTAATGGACCTGAGGAACATTAGCCTTCAGCACAGCTGAAGGTCAAAGCTGAGGGTCACAGTATGACAAACTCATATAGAATAATAACCAGCGATCAGTAACTGATGTGCAGTGCCTAATATCCAGTGTCCAGCACCCAGTGCCCAATACGCAGTGCCCAGTTCCTGCTCAGTGTCTGTCACCAATACATAATGGTCGATGCCCAGGAGGTACTGCAAACACACTGTAAATGCAATGCACATGCACTGTACAGTCACTGTAACAACACTGTACACACACTGGTAACAACACTGTACAAACACTGTTAACAATACTGTGCACACTATACCACACTGTAAACACACTGTACCACACTGTGACAACACTGTAAACACACTGGTAACAACACTGTAAACACACTGGTAACAACACTGTAAACACACTGTAACAACACTGTAAACACACTGTAACAACACTATAAACACACTGGTAACAACACTATAAACACACTGTAACAACACTGTAAACACACTGGTTAAAACACTAAGCACACTGTAAACACACTGGTAACAAAACTGTAAACACACTGGTAACAACACTATAAATATACTGTACCACACTGTAAACATTCTGGACCACACTATAAACATACTGTAGCACACTGTAACAACACTGTGCAAACACTGTTAACAATACTGTGCACACTATACCACACTGTAAACACACTGTATCACACTGTGACAACACTGTAAACACACTGTAACAACACTGTAAACACACAGGTAACAACACTATAAATATACTGTACCACACTGTAAACATTCTGGACCACACTATAAACATACTGTAGCACACTGTAACAACACTGTCAACACACACAATGTAAAGACACTGTAAATACACTGTCTACACAAACACTGGCAACACAATGTAACTACACTGTAACTGCACTGTCTCCACACACTAGTAACACATTGTAAACATGTTGTAAACTAGGGTTGGGTTGATGCCATCATCCACAGCTGACAGGCATCACAATGTCAACATCATGACGGCAACATTCTGGAAGCCCCTCCCAGTGTGTGTTCGTTATGAAGGCCAGTCTGCCACTGTCTGATTTGCCACACACTGAGGTGGATTTCGTCACATCGCAAACCATCATGCACCGCGCACTGTAGCAGAGCTCTCCACTGAAATGACCAGCATGCAGCGAACGTCACAAAGCACCTGCTGCACCATTTAAGGTGGAACGAGAAAATTCAAACAGGACGCTGGAGAATAAAACGCCTCAGGTAGGATAGTCTGTAACAAAGAGCGCCAGGCTAACCGTTAGCTGCAGCTAGCAGAGTTTGAGTGTTTCCCTTGTGCTCTTCACGTTGTTTCTTCACAAGTGTTTCTTGCAATTTTGAACCACCCACTTCACAGTATCTAGCACTCAAGCAGTTTTTATCTAGCTAGCACTCATTAAAAGTATCTAGCACTGCCGAAACATGGACAGAAAGGGAAAACCTGCGGCCGGCGGTGCAGAGAAGGCCGCAAAGTGTGCTAGAATAACGGATTTATTTAAATCCCCCGAACCGCCCTCCGAAGTCATCGTAAGGTGCAACAGACTTCCCCATAGAATTCACCTTATGCCAGTTAGGCAAACATCACCCAAGCCTGGTGTAAACACACTGTAACTACACTGTCCTTACACACTGGTAACACACTGTAAGCCCAATGTAAACACGCTGTGCACACAAACAGGTATAAACATGTCATAACTACACTGTCCACACACAATGGTAATGCACTGTAACCGTACTGTAATTGCACTGTAAACACTATCTGCACACACTGTAAACACACTGTAAGCACACTATCCACACACACTGTAAACACACTGTATCCGCACACACCGTAAACACACTGTAAGCACACTATCCACACACACTGTAACCACACACCGTAAACACACTGTAAGCTCACTATCTGCACACACTGTAAACACACTGTAAGCACACTATCCACACACACTGTAACCACACACTGTAAACACACTGTAAGCACACTATCCACACACACTGTAAACACGCTGTAAGCACACTACGCATACACACTGTAAGCACACTCTCTGCACACACTGTAAGCACACTGTAAGCACACTATCTGCACACACTGTAAAAACACTGTAAGCTCACTATCCAGACACACTGTAAACACACTGTAAGCACACTATCCACACACACTGTAAACACACTGTAAGCACACTATCTGCACACACTGTAAAAACACTGTAAGCACACTATCTGCACACACTGTAAAAACACTGTAAGCACACTATCTGCACACACTGTAAAAACACTGTAAGCACACTATCTGCACACACTGTAAAAACACTGTAAGCTCACTCTCCATACACACTGTAAACACACTATCTGCACACACTGTAAACACACTGTAAACACACTATCCACAAACACAGTAAACACACTGTACGCACACTATCTGCATACACTGTAAGCACACTATCCACACACACTGCAAACTGCGCTGTCTGCACACACTGGTAACACACTGTAAACAAATCATGAAAATATTTTAATCACACTACCAACAGACAGCAGGCACTGCAAACACACTGTAAAAACAGTGTCCTTAGACGCTGGTAACACGCTAAATGTACTTTAATTACACTGTAAACACACTGGTAACACACTGTTACACTGTAAAAACAATATAAACACACTATCAATACAGTGTCCACACAAACCGGTGTCAGCACACACTGGTAATACACTGTAAACACACTGTAACTAAACTCACAGCACATACTGCACTGTACCTACACTGTACTCACTGTACTCACACTGTACACTCACTGTCTAAAACTAAAACAAGCTGAAACACGTTCCTGCAGGATCACACTGAAGCACATGTAGATGAGTGGACGAGTGGATGAGTGGATGAGTGGATGAGTAGATGAGTGGATGAGTAGATGAGTGGACGAGTAGACGAGTGGATGAGTGGATGAGTAGATGAGTGGATGAGTGGATGAGTAGATGAGTGGATGAGTGGATGAGTGGATGAGTAGATGAGTGGATGAGTGGATGAGTAGATGAGTCCACTCATCTACTCATCCAGTAGATGAGTATTGTGTTGGTGCTACTATGTTTCCCCACAGTTCACCAGTACACACCCCCGAGCTCAGAGCACTGCCCGTTTAGCCCCGTTTGACCCGGTTTAGCCCGGATTTAGCCCCGATTTACAGCTGGCTTTACCTTGTAGACATCTCCGTAGGTTCCGCTGCCTATCCTCTGGATCAGCTCGAAGTCCTCCTGAGGGTTCCGCCTGGACAGGTCACAGCTGGAGCTCATCCTGACCGAATCTCCTCACAGCGCGGCTAAACCTGCGCCTTACGCACTGCCCTCACGCGCGCTCACTAATCGGCATGAAACTAAACATAAACAACAACAACAACAACACAATCTCAGCCTGACTTCACTACTTTACTTTAACATGGCTTCCTCCGAACCACACTGCGCATGCGCAGAAGCCAGCTGGTCTGTTCAGCGGGAGAGCGGGCGCACTCCAATAACGCGCTCCGAGTTGCGCACTAGGTAGGGCACCTACGAAGTGTGCACTCCTGTTCTAAGTATCCACGCTCAGCTAGCCGGCAGAAATCCTGAAGACGTTCTGGCCAGTATTATCTAGAACACTCTCTGTTCTGCGCATGTGTGTTTTGAGGGTGCATGTTTCCGTGCGTTCAGTTCCTTTTCGAACTTTCCGTTCCACCTTAAATGGTTCAGCAGTTACATTGTGGCGCCTGCCCCATTTAAGGTGGAACGTAAAGTTCGAACAAGAAGCCTCATGCTGCGCTTCTCCTATCGGCTGCTCAGACTGCAGGGGGGCGGGGCTTTGCTTGTGGGTTATTTTCACCCTTTTTTTATTGGTGCACGAGGATACCGGCCTCTTCATCATCATCATCATCATCATCATCATCATCTGCTTCTCTTCTTCAGAGCGGTTCGGTCTGTGTGCATCTGTGTGCCCCTCGCGCCTGCTTGGCCCCGCCCCACCGCTATTGTTGGCTCTGCACAGGCAGCAACCTTCACACGCGCACACGCGCGCGCGCTCACCGTGCTCACTGCACCGCGAGATGAGCCTGAGCTGGACGCAGGATTGTATTCCTCCTCCTCCTCATCATCATCACCTTCGTTCTCTCGCGCGCACGGACAAAGAAGACACCGGACACTAACAGAGAGAGAGAGAGAGAAAGAGGGAGAGAGAGAGAGAGAGGGAGGGAGGTTGTGAGTACACGAGAGAGGAGAAGAAACGAGAAAAGGGGAAAGGAGAGAGAGAAAGAGAGAGAGACACTATTAGAGAGATATATAGTTAAAAAGAGAGAGAGAGTGTGTGTGTGTGTGGGAGAGAGAGAGAGAGAGAGAGGGAGAGAGAGAGATAGAAAAAGGCGAAGGAAAGGCGCGCGCGCTCCGGTTGGGCGTAGCATATGGCCGTGGCTCGATAGAGAGCGTGCAGGTTTGCGCGGTGGAGAATGTGAGCGCGCGTGAGCGAGCGATGGACGCTCGAGAGCGCGTCCCCGCCCTGTACGCGCGTCTGAGAGCGACAGACAGACCGACGGATCGGCTCTCGTGTTAGACTGACAGACTGACCAAGAGTGACCAGAGTGATGATGGAGCGGTGCGTTCCCGCGCTCTCGGTGTGCGTGAGCGCGCTTTCCCTGCTCCTCCTCCTCCTCGCGCTCTGCTCCGACCACTGGTACGAGACGGACACGCGCAGGCACAAGCGGAACTGTGACCGGAAGGGCTCGGACTCCAACGACCAGAAGAACCGCGACATGCCCATCTACCACCTGCCGCTGGTGGAGGGGGGCGCGCGTCGCGGGGGGGCGCTCGCGAGGCCCATCCACGTGGGCAGCCCTGAGGAGGAGCTGCTGGAGAACTGGAGGGCCATCGCTGGACTGGGCATCCTGGAGACCGAGTGCGGAAGACCGCTGTTCCCCACGCACTCGGGCCTGTGGAGGAAGTGCTACTTCCGGGGGAGGGACCGCGACATAGACACGCTCATTAGCAAAGGTGAGGAGGGCGGGGTCATCAGTACAGGTAAGCGTACGGGGTGGGGGGTATATGGAGGTGAAGGTGGGAGCCCCTCAGTCTGTAGTCCATGTAACGTCCATATAAGGAAGTCCAGGTCTAAGCCGTTCATCTCTATGTGAGAAATGTCCGATATCGCCCCCCTGTGGTGATCGAGTACCTTTTACCTCCGAACATCACTGCGGCGTCTGAATTACAGCCGTCAAATACTGAGAATGCTAACAGCTAACGCTCCATCGAACTGCTCCACCCAAATACGCCGACGCTTCGAACAACACAGACACAGATACAGCAAACCGCTTCCAGAGCATCGCAGCAGGGGGCGCTACAGCGACAGCCAAACCTGTTCACTCAGCTAAACATAAATACGCCTGCAGAAGCAGTGAAGCGGCGCTCAGTCCTCTCGTGTCGGCGAGTTTGGAACGTGCTGGGGAGGTGGGGTCATTTCCTCCGCAGGCCCCAGGCGGCCGCGTGAGGAGCCGCTGCTGATGTGTACAGAGTGCTAATGAAATGGGCAGCAGTGCTGGTTCACTTATAGCATGATTAGCATTTTCACTGCTTAATGACCTTCATTCATTTCCCCACAGAGGGAGACGGCTCAGACCCAGAGCTCCTATTTGGAGTGGGGGGCAGGATGTAGACATGCTAATTAATAAAGGGAAACACGTGGGGTAGATTTGGGGGGACTGCACCATGAGGGGTAGATTTGGGGGAGACTGCACCATGTGGGGTAGATTTGGGGGGGACTACACCATGTGGGTTAGGTTTGGGGGGGAATGAACCATGTGGGGTACATTTGGGGGGGACTGCACCATGTTGAGTAGATTTGGGGGGGACTGCACCATGTTGAGTAGATTTGGGGGGGACTGTACCATGTGGGGTAGATTTGGGGGGGACTGCACCATGTGGGTTAGGTTTGGGGGGGAATGCACCATGTGGGGTAGATTTGGGGGAGGAGACTGCACCATGTTGAGTAGATTTGGGGGGACTGTACCATGTGGGGTAGATTTGGGGGGGACTACACCTTGTTGAGTAGATTTGGGGGGGACTGTACCATGTGGGGTAGATTTGGGGGGGACTACACCATGTGGGGTAGATTTGGGGGGGACTGTACCATGTGGGGTAGATTTGGGGGGGAATGCATCATGTGGGGTAGATCTGGGGGGACTGCACCATGTGGGGTAGATATGGGGGGGAATGCATCATGTGGGGTAGATTTGGGGGGACTTCACCATGTGGGGTACATTTGGGGGAGGAGACTGCACCATGTGGGGTAGATTTGGGGGGCTCTGCACCGTGTGGGGTAGATATGGGGGGACTGCACCATGTGGGGTAGATTTGGGGGGCTCTGCACCATGTGGGGTAGATTTGGGGGGGAATGCATCATATGGGGTAGATCTGGGGGGGGACTTCACCATGTGGGGTAGATATGGGGGAGGAGACTGCACCATGTGGGGTAGATATGGGGGGACTGCACCATGTGGGGTAGATTTGGGGGGGACTGCACCATGTGGGGTATATATGGGGGGACTGCACCATGTGGGGTAGATATGGGGGGACTGCACCATGTGGGGTAGATTTGGGGGGCTCTGCACCATGTGGGGTAGATTTGGGGGGGAATGCATCATATGGGGTAGATCTGGGGGGGACTTCACCATGTGGGGTAGATATGGGGGAGGAGACTGCACCATGTGGGGTAGATATGGGGGGACTGCACCATGTAGGGTAGATTTGGGGGGACTGCACCATGTGGGGTATATATGGGGGGACTGCACCATGTGGGGTAGATATGGGGGGACTGCACCATGTGGGGTAGATATGGGGGGACTGCACCATGTGGGGTATATATGGGGGGACTGCACCATGTGGGGTAGATCTGGGGGCTCTGCACCATGTGGGGTAGATATGGGGGGACTGCACCATGTAGGGTAGATTTGGGGGCTCTGCACCATGTGGGGTAGATTTGGGGGCTCTGCACCATGTGGGGTAGATTTGGGGGGGACTGCACCATGTGGGGTAGATTTGGGGGAGGAGACTGCACCATGTGGGGTAGATATGGGGGGACTGCACCATGTGGGGTAGATATGGGGGCTCTGCACCATGTGGGGTAGATATGGGGGGACTGCACCATGTGGGGTAGATATGGGGGCTCTGCACCATGTGGGGTAGATATGGGGGGACTGCACCATGTGGGGTAGATATGGGGGCTCTGCACCATGTGGGGTAGATATGGGGGCTCTGCACCATGTTGGGTAGATATGGGGGGACTGCACCATGTGGGGTAGATATGGGGGAGGGACTGCACCATGTGGAGTAGATATGGGGGGACTGCACCATGTGGGGTAGATATGGGGGCTCTGCACCATGTGGAGTAGATATGGGGGGACTGCACCATGTGGGGTAGATATGGGGGGACTGCACCGTGTTGTGAGTGGAGATGGTGGTGGGGTCATTAGTGGTGGTGGTCTGTAGAACTGAGACATACAGATTGATCATAAATATTAACTGGTATAAAATATTGATTGATTATAGGAGGTGAGCGCTGAGTCGGCTGTAGGTCTGTGTTGCGGCGCGGTGGCGCTGTGTTATGTTGTACATACAGTATAAACTGTAGTTTCTTTGTTGGTCAGCTCAGTAGAGTCTCAGTGAGGGGAGCGCGGTGGACACTGGAGCAGCCGGACGCTCTCTTTAATTTCTTGGGCACGTAACGCGGCACACCTCCTCTTTCACCTTCACTCTCGCTCGGCTTTGAAGCTGCAGATGAAAAGATGAAAGTGTGAAGGTGAGAGCGGGTGAGGGAATTGGATCTGATTGGCGGTCGATGGAGATTAGGAGGTGACGGCCGCGTGAGGGATGAGAGCCGACCGCTGTGGGTCAGACGACCTTCAGCTTCACCTTTAAATCCTCGCGCTGACCAGTTACACAGCTGTGTTCACCTCAGTGCAGATCTATGAGCTCAGTGCAGAAAACAGCCGTGAGACCCTCGTTTCTCCGCCGCGGTAACTTTACAGGAGAGAAGAGACGGTCTGAACTCCGACGCACGTTCATGTCAGGAGATTATAAAGTAAAATCATAGATCATTTCATCATTAAACGTCCACAGAGTAAAGAGTGAAGAGTCTGACTCAGATCTCAGGCCTGTAGAGGAGACTCATGTGTTTGTATTCAGTTTAATGCAGTTATTTCATTAATCAGTTACACGACTCTCCAGGTATAATGTGGAGGTGGACTCTTCTGAGGTGTAGCCGTTACACAGTGAACTATATGATCATACAGTTATTGTTTATGTGCTATGATAAGGTAATTACTGTATTATAAGGTAATTACTGTATTATAAGGTATATACGGTATTATAAAGTATATGCTGTATTTTAAGGTATATACGGTTTTCTAATCCCAGTAGTGTTTCAGTGTTTTAGTACAGAATATAATAACATACTGCACTATTTTCTACTAACAGGAAGTGCTGAAGTTACGTTGCTATGGTACCATATGCATGCGTCATATTCAGTAGCAGCGCTGTGATAAAAACGTGTTTATCAGTTCATAGTTTTCATTAAAGGCTCTTTTTATTATATTCTCTTGTTTCTGCAGTTTGATGATGAACTCGCTAGTTAGCTCGACGTTCTTTCAGATGCGGAGGTGCTCTAGACACAGTGAGGGGTTTCTCCGGTCAGGGTTAACGGAGTTGAAGGACGCCGTGGTCAGTGTGTGTGACCTTCCCGCCGGTCAGCGTGTGTGTGCTGGTGCAGTGTTCGGAGCTGCAGAGCTGCACGGCAGCCAAATCTGAGCTGAGGAAACTGAGGCAGAAATAACAACAGAAGGTCAGCCAGCGGGGGGCAGCGGTGAGACCTGCGGGACAGACTGGCAGGAACAGGACAGACACAGATAAACATAATAATACAGATACAACAACAACAATAACAGCGTGAAAACAGACGCAGACACTGGAAGGAAATAAGTGGCTAGGAATGAAGTCCTGAATGTGTGTTTGTGCTTTAGGGGTTACAAAGAAGACTAATACATCCAGTAGCTCACTAATATATTCACTGACTCACTAATCATACCTATTAACTCACTAATATATCCACTAATTCACTAATATGCCCACTAACTCACTAATATACCTATTAACTCACTAATATATCCACTAATTCACTAATATACCTATTAACTCACTAATATATCCAATAGTTCACTAATACATTCACTTATTCACTAATATATCTACTAACTCACTAATATACCCACTGACTCACTAATATATTCACTAACTCACTAATATACCTATTAACTTATTAATTTGTCCACTAATTCACTAATATACCCACAAGCTCATCAATATATCCACTGACTGACTAATATACCTACTAATTGACTAATATATCCACTACCTCACTAGTGTCCCCAAAAGCTCACTAACACATTCACTTATTCACTAATATATTGACAAACTCACTAATATACCCACTGGTTCATTAATGTACTCACTAATTTACTAATATATCCACTGATTCACCAAATTATCCACAAGCTCACTAATATACCTACTAGCTCACTAATATATCCAGAAGCTCACTAATATATCCACTAACTCACTAATATACCCTCTACCTCACTAATGTACCCACTAACTCACTAATATACCCTCTACCTCACTAATGTACCCACTAACTCACTAACATACCCTCTACCTCACTAATGTACCCACTAACTCACTAATATACCCTCTACCTCACTAATGTACCCACTAACTCACTAATATACCCCTCTACCTCACTAATGTACCCACTAACTCACTAATATACCCTCTACCTCACTAATGTACCCACTAACTCACTAATATACCCTCTACCTCACTAATGTACCCACTAACTCACTAATATACCCTCCTCTACCTCACTAATGTACCCACTAACTCACTAACATACCCTCTACCTCACTAATGTACCCACTAACTCACTAACATACCCTCTACCTCACTAATGTACCCACTAACTCACTAATATACCCTCTACCTCACTAACGTACCCACTAACTCACTAATATACCCTCTACCTCACTAACGTACCCACTAACTCACTAACACATCCCCTGGTTGGCTAATATAGTCACTGTTCTGCTAATACATCCAGTAATGGACTAATATATGAACTACCTCACTGATACGTGTTATGTATCAGTAGTTTACCAATGTTTCCACTCGTGAACTAGCGTATCCACTAGTATGCAGTTGTATCCACTAGTTGGCGCTGTGGGCAGTGTTAGGAACATAGCGGGGGTGTGAGCAGTAGTTAGCGTGCAGGAGGATCCTGAAAGCAGCTTTTCTGCTGATGTCAGAGCAGCGAGGCTCCACGTTCAACACTAAATAAGAATCTGATGTGTTAAATAATGTCTACTCAGTCTCAGCGACGCGGAGGGGAATGCGAGTGTGCGGAGTGGAGGGATGGAGGATCTCCGCCGCCGTGGCTCTCCGTGAGCGAGCGCTGCGCTGGTGTGTGTTGTGTGCTGATGTGTTTTCAGGCTGCAGTGTCAGCACTTTTTTCTCTGCAGTGCTGCCGTGTTTCCACTCCAGCTGCTGACCGCTCTGATCTGACCGCAGGTATTGCAGACCGCTGCACTTCTGTCAAATACCATTTCTCTCAGCCCATCCGGCTCCGGAACATTCCGCTCAACCTCACCCGGACCATCCAGCAGGACGAGTGGCACCTCTTACGTAAGCACACACGCCCCACACACCTGCACCGCTAAAGCGGGGGTTCCAGTTTCTACCCCAAATATAGTCCATCAAGACGCGTTTGGTGTCTGAAGTTTGCTTCTTTAGTTTTAGCGCTGGAGCTAACAAGTAATAGAAGCTTATACCCCACCAGTTAGCATGGTGCTAACTGCTGAGTTGATACTCTGCGTCAACTGTTTATGGTTGAAACAGCTGCGTTTCAAAATAAAGTGTAAATGTCATCTAATTATGGATTATAATTAATTACATATCTAATTAGTTATCAAATAAAGTGTGATATTTCATTCATACCAGTGAGTGTAAAATGTAAAACAGCTATTGGAAAAATTGTTAATCACTGGTATTTATGACAGTGGAGTGGAGCTGAGTGTGGTGCTAGCTCTAACTTAGCTAGCAGGCCGATTTGAAAGTTTTGCAAGCCGGATTTCGGGCCGGTCATCAGAGAGTCTGATGTGTTTCGTCCCTTAGGAAACACCTACTTCGACAGGAAAGGGCCGTTTGACTGGCACACAAAATAGCCAATCACAGGCTGCTGTTTTAGCATAACGTCTGCAGGCAGGGGATGTTTTAAATTGAGGTTGCAGCCAAAGCAAACTGCCTGTGTCAGTGCCGGTTTTAACTGCCCTCGTCCACTTGGCCTCGTCATTTCCCCTCGGGGTGGGGTGTCTCCAACACCTCAAGTGAAGTTTTTTAGATCCGAGTGAACAAACTTCAGCAGAACTTACCCAGAAACCATTGTGATCTGATTCATTTCCCATTTCAAACCTGGAATAATGGCACAGCAGAAAAGCACCTTTTCAAAGTCACAGCATTTGATTTGCTGGGCTTTGGGCCGCAAACCACTCCCTCCGTTATACAGGGCGGCTGATAGGGCTTCATCACTTCACTCTGCTAGCTGGCTAGTTAGCCTGCTAACAGCTTCTCAGCTAACAACAACAAGAAAGGCACTGCGCCCGGTTCTACCCCAAACTTTATAGCCTGACAAAGTAATTACTCACAAACGTTCCATACGTAATGCTTACATTTCGCAAAATAGGGTTTGGCGTTGCAAAGTTTGTATAGCTAGGCTGTTAGCTCACTGCGGCTAACCTGCCGAGGGGGAGTGCGTTCTGTGCCACAGAGCTTTCTCACTTAACAGCTGCTAAGAAAACTGCTTCACAGGAAACTCTCGAATAAAATGTGAAATGAAATTCAGACTTTTTTCAGTCCAGTGATCATATCTCAGTCTGAATCCACCTGCAGGAGTGCGTTCACACGCCTGCGCAGATAACCAATCAGAATGCATCTCAAAAGTTGTGGCCGGCTTTGCGGGCGATGGACACCAGACTCTCTGTACGTCTACTTGTAGAGCAGCTGAGGCTGAGATTAGATGCTCCACTGACACGAATTTAGAGGATAAATACCAAAACACAAAAAATTGTTCTGACAGAAGTGATACATAAATAAAGTACTGGGTAGCAAAAATTCATAAAAATGTTTGTCAGGCTCTGTTTTTTACTGTTAGAGAGACTATTTAAAATATTTATTTGAAGATTGCAGCGGCACACACTTTACACGCTTTACACACTTTACACGCTTTACACACTTTACACACTTTACACTTTACATGCTTTACGCACTTTACACACTTTACACACTTTACACACTTTACACACTTTACACACTTTACACACTTCACACTTTACATGCTTTACGCACTTCACACTTTACACACTTTACACACTTCACACTTTACATGCTTTACACTTTATACACTTTACACAATACACTTTACACACTTCACACTTTACACACTTCACACTTTACATGCTTTACACACTTCACACTTTACACACTTTACACACTTCACACACTTTACATGCTTTACGCACTTCACACTTTACACACTTCACACACTTTACACACTTTACACGCTTTACACTTTACATGCTTTACATGCTTTACACTTTATACGCTTTACACACTACACTTTACACACTTCACACTTTACATGCTTTACACACTACACACTTTACACACTTTACACACTTCACACTTTACATGCTTTACACACTACACACTACACGCTTTACACACTTCACACTTTACACACTTTACACACTTTACACACTTCACACTTTACACACTTCACACTTTACATGCTTTACACACTACACACTACACACTTCACACTTTACATGCTTTACACACTACACGCTTTACACACTTCACACTTTACACACTTTACACACTTTACACACTTCACACTTTACACACTTTACTCTGCTGCTCATCTGCAGCGCACAGACCTCATTAAACAAAACAGTCACTTCCTAAAACCTTTTACTACATAAAGGCACAGTTTGCAGCAGCAAACATTCAACTTCATATTCATACAATTCATAACTACAAACGTACATCCATCAGTGAGATCCTGCTGGTGTGGGTTATGTGCGAATAGCTCCCCTTGTGGTGAATCTTCAGACTGCCAAACATGGCTTCATGCTGACTTGCGGATATACTGTTTATGATTCAGATTAATAGAGAATGTCAATTTTAATTGATTATTATTTTAAATGGGTGATTGATTCTAATCGGATGCTCTGTTATTAGGAGATTGAAGGAGATTTGAAGGAGATATTAGGAGATTTTTTCCCATATGGAAAAATGTGTATTCCAAATGTGTTTAGCAAATATATTTTTGCAATGTTTAAAATTAGCCAAAAAACATATTTCTTAAATATATTTAAAATGTATTTATCAGTATTAGTTATTATCTGTGTTCAGTTGTGTGTAATGAAGGTTCCAGATGTAACTAAACGTTCTTCTGTGATCTGCACTGTACTTTACATTAACCATGTACGTCTGCAGTCAGACTCTCACACACAATGTATTTCACATAAACAAGATATCAGATCATAACTGCATTTTCACAGAGTATCAATACCCACAACACTCGCTTCTGTCCTGATAAAGGATCATTAGATCAGATTTAAAATGAAGATACTGGAACACAAATTCATTTCTAAAGGTATCAGACAGTGAAGAGCATCAGACAGTGAAGAGCATCAGACAGGATTCTGGATATTTTCATACATGTTCAGATGGATTTATAAACACATTTACACAGTTATTTTTGTCTGTGTGTAAAATTTCCACATACATTTTAAAAAAGATGCATTTAAAAATATATTTGATTAATATGGCACAATATTCTGAAATACATTTTAGTGCTTGAATGTATTTCAGTATCGACTTCAGTGAGTTTGAAATGTGTTTCAAGTGTATAAATATTTATTATATATTTATTCCATATGGATGATCTGCTAGTGCAGGAAGTTCTTCCACCATCTGCTGGTTCCTCCTGAAGGCCCACTGAGGAGAGCAGGTGCTGAATGTCGTTCTCTTCTCAGGAATCTTTAATAACTTTCTGGTTGGTAATGCGAGTCGGGCCGCGAGCGCCGCTGCTGTATTTATTGCAACTTTAATGTTTAATGGCGAGCGGCGGTCCGTATGTCTTTGTTCCACACCAGCGCGTCACTGTCCGCCTTCCAGTGTTAATTATGCAGCTCCATCAGCGTCGCTGGAAATAACGTGTTAGCGCTCGCGGTTTGGTGCGAGTTGTGGGCCGTGTGGGCGGTAGTCATGGAGACCGTGTGTGTGTGTTTGTGCAGATCTGCGGCGGATCACAGCCGGGTTCCTGGGCATGGCGGCCGCGGTGCTGCTGTGTGGATCTATCGTGGCTGCAGTCGGATTCTTCTGGGAGGAAAGTCTGACCCAACACGTGTCCGGCCTGCTGTTCCTAATGGCAGGTACACTATCAATGTCTGACTCTATATCTCTCTACCATTCTCTCTCTGTCTCTCTACCTTTCTCTCTCTCTCTCTCTCTCTCTCTCCCACCTGCTGTTCCTAATGGCAGGTACACTATCAATGTCTGACTCTATATCTCTCTACCATTCTCTCTCTGTCTCTCTACCTTTCTCTCTATCTCTCTCTCTCCCATCTGCTGTTCCTAATGGCAGGTACACTATCAATGTCTGACTCTATATCTCTCTACCATTCTCTCTGTCTCTCTACCTTTCTCTCTCTCTCTCTCTCTCTCCCACCTGCTGTTCCCAGTGGAAGGTACACCACATATATGGAAAAAGTATCGGGATCACTGAATTCAGGTGCTTCATTCAGTCTCATTGCCACAGGTGTATAAAATCAAGGTCCCAGCCCTGCAGCCTGCCTTTACACACGTCAGTGAAGGACCGGGTCTAAAGAGCTCACTGAACTCCAGCGTGGTGCTGTAATAGGACGCTACTATTGCAACAAGTCAAGTTCATGAAGTTTCTTCCCTCCTAGATGTTCCACGATCAGCTGTGAGTGTGTTATAGAAAAGTGGAAGCATTTAGGAACCACAGCAACTCAGCCACGAAGTGTCTGACCACGTAAAGTTACAGAGCGCAAAGAGTTCAAACCTCCTCTGGCATCAACATCAGCACTAAAACTGAGCACCGGGAGCTTCACGGCAGGGTTTCCATGGCTGAGCAGCTGCACACAAGCCTAAGATCTCTATGCTCAATGCCAAGCGTCGGATGGAGTGGTGTAAAGTGCCGCCACTGGACTCTGGAGCAGTGGAACCGTGTTCTGAGTGACGAATCAGCTTCTCTATCGGTCAGTCTGATGGACGAGTCTGGGTTTGGCGAATGCCAGGAGAACGTTACCTGCCTGACTGCACTGTGCCAGCTGTAGAGTTTGGTGGAGGAGGGATGATGATATGGGGCTGTTTTTCAGGGGTTGGTCTAGAACCCTTAGTTCCAGTGAAGGGGAATCTTAATGCTTCAGCACCAAGACATTTTGGACAGTTGTACACTTCCAACTTTGTGGAACAGTTTGGGGAAGAACCTTCCTGTTCCAGCATGACTGAGCCCCAGTGACCAAAGCAGCTCCATAAAGACATGGAGTGACCAGTTTGGTGTGGAAGAACTTGACTGACCCTCACAGAGCCCTGACCTCAACCCCACTGAACACCTTTGGGATGAACTAGAACGGAGATTGTGAGCCAGACCCTCTCGTCCAACATCAGTGTCTGACCTCACTAATGCTCTTCTGGATGAATGGGCAGAAATTCCCACAGACTCTCCAACATCTTGTAGAAGCTTCCCAGAAGAGTGGAAGCTGTTAGAGCTGCAAAGAGGTACCAACTCCATATTAATGCCTCTGGGTTTAGAATGGGATTCATTAAAGCTCCTGTAGAGGTGATGTGGAGGCATCCCAATACTTAGTGTACATATGTGTGTGTGTGAATAGATGCGCACAGAACTTCGGTGTTCTTTCCTCTGCGCTGTTTTCCATCTCTCTGTCCAACTGTGGCTCGATTTCTGGCTCATTCTAACACAATAACAGGTGCACTGTCTCTCTCTCTCTCTATCTCTCTCTCGCTCTCTCTGTCTCTCTTTCTCTCTCTCCCTCCCTCTCTGTCTCTGTCTCTCTCTCTCTCTCTCTCTTTCTCCCCCTTCTCCCTCTCCCACCCCCCCACCATCTCTGTGGTTTTTAATCTCTTATTCTCTGTGTCGTTCTGTCAGCACTTTCTTTCTTCTTTTCATCTCTCGTGTCCTCTTTTCTTCGCTGTACTGTTTTCCTAAGACATTAAAAGGTCAGACAGCTTAGATCTGTTTCTCTCACGCTCCAAAAATTCACCCCAAGTTCCAAAAAAGATCCCAAATTCCAATACAAGTTCCCAAATTCCAGATAATGATCCAGAATACCCAAAATATCCCAAATTCCTCTAAAATCCCAAATGAAGCCCCCAGAATGTCGTGGTGAAGAGGATGCTGTGTATGTATTGTGGTGAAGAGCCTCTGTCAGTCCTGCTGCTGCTTCTGGGCTGTGATGTGTTGCTGTGTGTCGTGTTTGTGTTTTTCAGGAATCTTCTGTACGATCTCTCTGTGCACGTACGCCGCGAGCGTGTCGTACGATCTCTCCCGGAATCCTCCCTTCATTTACGGTCTGCCGGCGGACGTGGATCACGGATACGGCTGGTCCATCTACAGCGCGTGGGTCAGTCTGGGGCTAACCGTGGCGTCCGGCTGCTTCTGCACCACCTACCCTTTCCTGAGCCACGGCAAAGCGCTGCGCTCCAAAACCGCCCGCGAGTCAGCCGTCTGAGAGAGAGAGAGAGAGAGAGAGAGAGAGAGAGAGAGAGAGAGAGAGAGAGCGCCCCCCGCAGGACCGGAGGACTTACGGCCTCAGCACAGCTCCAGACGCCTCACTGGACTTCACTGTCCGCTCCTCTCTGAAAGACTCAAATGAGTGTGGAGGTGTATGAGCGCCCCCTGGAGGAGATCTAACACACACACACACACACACACACACACACACACTAGGGCAGTAGGAGAGCGTGAGCTCTCAGACTGCTGGGCTGTCAGGTGGACGGTGATGTAGTTTGTTGTTTGTTGGTTTTTGTTGTGGTTTTGTGGTTGCAAAACACACACACACACACACACACACACACACACATCCACCAGGCGGCAAGCTGGACTGGACGCACGTCTGAAATCCTGTTATTTTTCGTGGTCAGCTGGTCACTGAAACTGGACAACAGTGCTGTAAATGTGACGTTCACGATTTATTTCTGAGCTCATGTGAGATATAATGAGGTTTGATTGTCAGTAATGATGTTTGTTTTCCACAGAAATAAACACAGCAAGATTTAAAGGGGAACTCCACCATTTTTTCCAAATTTCTCCATAATTCTAGGGTTGAGACGTAAACAGAGTCATTCAGAGTGGTTTTTAGTTCCTAGAGAAACTTACCGAGTCAGAACTGTTCACAGTGGTGGTGATAGGAACCAGACGTCCACCTCTAAAAGCTCCCTCACAGAAAGTTCCTACAGTAAATGGTTATGAATTCACTGCCTGATGACTGAGACACTGTTTTATGATAGTTTAGAGAACTTAAACTCCATTCATGGTGGAGGGATACATGCAGGGCGCTGTGAGGCAAAATAGTCCCCAAAGAAAACTTATTATTTCAGATTTTCCACTATTTTCCATCATCAACATTCCATATAAACTCAGAAGACTCGTGTAGGTTCACTGGTGGTTCTGCATAGTAAATAAAATGTCTATATTTGTGTTGTAGTCATGGCGACCCCTGGTTCCTATCACCACCACTGTAAAGACATCTGAACCATTTCACACCAAACCTCTCTGAATCTCTCTGTTTACATCTCACACACTGAGTTATGGGGGAATTTTGGGAAAAATCAGTAGAATTCCTGGTTAATGTACCTAAATTATTTAATGTACACACGAATAACGCCACGTAGATGTTGATATTAATCCGATTAAAGAGGAATTTCTCTAATAAGTTGTGAATGGGACAAAGCCTCACGTTTATAAGTAAACACACTGTGGTGTAGCGGTGCTTATGGAGACTGTTACAGATGTTACAGATGTTACAAAGGCTTCTTCTGGGACGGTCTGAGGCTGCAGTAGATCTCTGACCCAAACCCAGCAGTGAAGATATGAAGTATTAGCTTGCTGTTCGCCTCAAACCCCCCCTCCCCCCCCACCCCTGTGGTGTTCCTGACAGTGAAGTGTAAATAAAGTCCTATACAGATGAAATAAAGACTCTGAGGACCGACGCGCTCTGTGCTTTAATACACAGTGTTCCTGATCCATAGTTCATACAAGCTAAATGACCTCAGATGACCCCTTACTGACCAGCTCAGAATCACTTAGAGCAGCACTGTGTAAGGTCTGGGGATCTGGAGCCCTCCCTGGTGAAAATGTGTAACTGCTTGCGGAGGAACATTTTGGCCCAGTCCCATTTCACCCCTCGCCCCGCCCAACAGCAGTTACATTCTGGCGCATCAGGCATCAGAACTGCTGCTCCATTTAAGGTGGAACGGGAAAATTCGAAAGAGAATCTGGTGAATATCTGACTTCAGCTTCGTATCACTGAAGAATTAGGGGTGGGTGATAATAAATAATTGCCCCCCTCTTTGAAGGCGTATGATGCCCTAAATGTAACTAAAGCCCAGCAGTGAGGAGCTGAACTTTACCCTCCTCTGCTGTCACTGCAGACTGGCAGGGTCGCCTACAGAGCAGCGCTGGTAGCTGTTAATGAAGTGATGCTCTTTTTATTTGAGGGTCCCATTTCAGAGGGAAGAGTTCAACCACTACCCTGTAACTCAGTTCCAAAGGGCAACACTCAAAAACAAGGGGTAAAAATGAGAAATGGGACAGGGCCTTTGTAACATTGGTTGAGCTTTAGACCCCCACGAGCAGGTGAATCTGACTTTTGCGAGGCTGAAGGAGAATCAAAGAGAACTCAGTCTAAACTGAAGGAGCGTCTCTGAGGATGAGAGTGAATTATCTACTACTGTCATCACATCTTCATCAGTGTGATGCTGATTCTGAGATCATTTGAGGCCGAAACATCGGCGTTTCTGAGTCAAATCAAACCATGCCTACATTTTAAAAATGCATACTGTGAGGGTCTGACACGGACCACCACAAAATAATTAGTACCACTGAAAAAAACACATTTCAATTAGCAGCTGTACCAGATATGAATCTGTTAGACGGCCGAACAGAAGGTCAGCATCATTTGTCCTGCTAACAGTTGCTGTTTTTTATTTAATAATAATAATAATAATAGAGCGTATTTTAAAATCTAAATTTTATTAGAACTGGATTCCAGATGTTCTCCAGCTTTCGGTCAGTTTAGAACCTTCTCCAGCTCTGATCCTCACCCTGGATCATCTCATATTTCTTTATTTTTATAACAGCTTCATTCTGATTATCTGGAAAGTCAGACAAGGTAAAGTTCACTAAAAAGTGACTTTAATCGATTCGAATGTGAACATCAGCTCCACGGGAATAAACTGTGTTACAGCAACACGTTGCTCAATTTCGGAATTAAATTATTATATTTTATTTATTTTAAACTGATGTAGACATTTGAAATAAGTCAGTGCAAATTTTCACTGTAGTTTATTATAATAGAGTCATTCTATACATTTACCTGCAACAAATCGTCTCCCTGGACATTATGAGGTTCTGACTGACGTTTGTGTCAAAACTGAGCTTTTCTCATGTTCATATTCTGTGACTTCATATTATCATGTGAGGTGTTTTTAAAGTTGTCTGCATTTTTGACTTTTTAACTAGAAAACAAAAAGGTTCTGTCTCCAAACTCAAACTCTAACTCAGTTCTATGAGGTTCTATCTATGAGCCAATCAGCACTTCACACACACATAAGAGGACCAATCAGGTTCTGCTTCTTTGTCATGTTCGTGCTCTGCTCAGTGAAAGGTTTATACAAACTTATGAAAGATGAAAACATGTTGAAACTCCGCCTGTCGTCTTACAGCCCTTTAAAAACTCCTACTGTCTTAAATTTGATGAATATTAAGCCTTACAGGTCATTAAATAGTGGACGTTTGAACTGATGGGCTCTTAATTACAACATGAACATTAATTTCATTCATTCATCTTTTCTTTTTCTTCTTTCTTCCAAAATAAGACATTTTGTCTCATTAGAGTCTCATTTCTGATATAAAACTAAACCTCACACGGCCTTTAGACTGACCGGCTACGCTGACCGGCTACACTGACCTGCTGGGACAGTTTAGTACAGCAGCTGTTTCTGTCTGACTGAAGGAAACTGAAACTAATGGTTCCTAAAACTGACCTCTGCACTGGACAGAACAGTCAGCTCTGACCTTTATACTTAATCTGCAAGAAATAAATGTCATAAAAATGTCATAGAAAGCGTCAAATTGAACCTTCTAAAACACGAACTCTGTTTTAAAATAAATCAGAAGTATAAACTCTTTGTGTTCCTTTAAAATCGATGCTTCATTTCATGTTCTGTCAGATAGAACCTTATAACTCCAAGCAGAAAGTGGGTTCTCAGGATTAGAAAGTTCTCTCTGCATTTGATCTGCTCCAAAAACTCATTTACGAATATGACAGGATTTTGATTTTGTACATTTAGAATAAATTTAGGGAGTGCGTCATCGTCATGTCTGAAAGAGGCGTGTTCTACAGATCAGTTCTGCTGTCTGGAAAATCAATCGATCAATATCTCGGAACTGCTCGGAACACAGACGGAACCTTACAGCTCCACAGGGACGAGATGTTGATCCAAACGTAAACAGCGATTCAGACTGATCGCTAAAGCAGCTCTGAGTATTAAATCAATCCAAACTCTGTGTTTATTTATTTACTTCAGAAAACAAAACAGTCAGAACGCAGACCGGGTTTAATGCGCTCAGTAACACAGTACCAGGCCAGATGAGCTCAGGTTCATGTTCGCCTTCTGACACCTAGCGGTCAGTTCAGGTACTGCAAACTGATCTTCCCAAATGTTTTACTCTTCATTCATTTTTATTGAGATGATAACAAATGATAATTTATCAGTGCTGAAGATTCTCACTGTGGCCTCCTCAGCTGTGGAATATTATTTGGTTCTAGACATCTAGAACACAAACATAATAAGCAATCAGACATCCAGATGTTCTCCAGAGGTGTTAAACTCTAATCCAGCAGCTACAATCAGATCACAAGATGATTATAAAACTCTTCCAGAATCGTCTAGAACCTTAGAATCAGGAGAACAGTCTTGAATACCATAAAAACATGCTGCAGGCTGAAGTTCCTTCACAGGAACCGAGCTCAGCTGGAGAAGCTAAGAAACACCACAAAACCAGAACCTGAAAAATAAGAACATCGTCTGAGCTTCTGAACATCTGAACACCTGAACATCACTGAGCCTTTATGGACGTTTACTGCACACCCACCAACGCTGGAGGTGTCAGATGTGGAGAACCCTGGACGCCTTCAGGAACCAGCCTTTAAAGGTTTCTGTGATTTTTTTTTCCAGCCGTACTGCCACCAAGCGGTCAGTTCAGGCAGAGCGACAGACCCGTCTGGTTGTGTTTGTTTCATTTCTGGACGCTCTAGTTGGATCCTTATTCAAATGTTCCATTCCACCTTAAATGGTGCCAGAATGTACCAGCTGTAACTGTTTAAGGTGGAACGGAGAACCGGAATAGAACCGCCTTCAGTCCGGAGCCTTCAGTGTCTCTGCAAGGCGGGTCAGTCAGCAGAGCCGCAGCTTCACTCCAGCAGCTTCGCTCCAGTGGCGTTCAGCGCATGCGCCGACCCTTGTGGTTCTTCTT